ATTACACATAAACAACACAAAACTTAATTCACAAATCACTTTTATTACCAAAAACACAAAACATGAACAAGGCGTTTTCCCTGAACTGTTGAAAACAGCTTGTATTGTTCCAATCCATAAAAAAGGGAATTGCACTGATTTAGCCAATTATAGACCAGTCTCAATCTTAAATGTTATTTCTAAATCTTTTGAAATCGTTATGTATAATAGACTTAAAATATTTTTTAAAAATGAGCAAATATTAACAAATTCCCAGCATGGTTTTAGAGAGGGCAGATCAACGGAGACTGCTGCCAGTAGTCTTGTTGAATTTGTATTATCAAAACTGGATTGTGGTGAGATGGTGGCGGCGGTCTTCTTTGATCTGTCAAGAGCATTTGACTGCATTAATCACAAATTTATGGAACAAAAACTGTTTTCAGTGGGAATCAGGGGCAAACCATTAAAATGGATTACTTCCTATCTAAAAAATAGAAAATTGTGTGTCCGTATTAAAAGTAGCGTATCAGAGTTGTATGACATAAGTATGGGAGTTCCTCAGGGGTCCGTTTTGGGACCGCTGCTATTTGTCGTGTTCGTAAATGAAATGCCTAATTTTATCAAAGCAGATTTTATAAGCATGTATGAGGATGATACAGCTGTAGCGGTTACGGGAAGGACCCGTGAGGAAATCGAGATTAAGTTAAATAATGTAATTTCTCAATTTAGAAATTGGTGTCACTTAAATAATCTTATATTAAATTTAGATAAAACTGTATTTTTAAATTTTTTTAACAAAAGGGTACAAGCACAAATGAACATTACCACTCAGGGATATCAAATATTATCCAGTGAAAGTGTAACTTATTTGGGTCTGATTCTTGATAGTGGCACAAGATGGCTTGGTCAAATTGATAATATTTGTAGTAAAATAAACAAATCATTCTTTGCTATACTAAATTTAAAAAATATACTTAACGAGAATCAATTGTTAAATGTTTATTATTCTTTAGTCTATAGTCATTTGTCATATAATATAATATTATGGGGAGATTGCGTAGAAAGTGGGCGAATTTTCAATGCTCAAAAGAAAATCATTCGTTTAATTTTTGGCCTTAATTATCTTCAATCATGTAAAAAGACGTTTCAGCAGAAAAGAATTCTTACTTTTCCCTGTATGTATATATTTAAGTGCTTGTTATATATTAAGCAAAATATTCATAGGTATGAAGTGGGATCTGACAGTCACAATTATTTAACCAGAAATCGAAATGAGCTGATTATACAAAAACACAAAACAAAAAAAACCGAAAGTTCTCCAGCATATGCTGGCATAAAACTATATAGAAAATTACCAGAAAAAATAAAAACATTACATTAAACTTCAACCTATTTCGACAAAAAGTTAAAATTTTGTTACAGGAAAATTCTTTTTACTCTGTTAAAGAATATTTAGACTATAAGTCATTGTAAACTGTGTTCTATTGTTTGTATTGATAACACAGTACGACAAAATTTGATTTTTGGTCCCTCCCATGAAAAATTTCTACAGATTCTAAAAATAGAGTTAAAAAAATGATACCCGTGTCTCGGCGTTTTTTCACATCACGTCATAATTTTTTTTTAAGGGCTATCCAATAAAATGTTATTCACACTATTCGCGACATAATTTAATAGACTCGATAACAGCTGGACTGCATAGTTAAAAATATATATATTTACTAAATGGATAGGCAACCATTATAGATGCATTTTAAAATTATTTTAATCTTATACAGAGTTTTGCACATTTATATATATATCAAACGGTTTATTTTTAAACCAAGTAACAAAATGTTTCAATTTTAAGCCAATCAAAATGCTTTAAAGTCGGGTGATTAAAATTTTTATTTATTCATTTTTTTTGTAAAAATTGAGCTTTGTTGAATTAACATTTTGAAAAAAAATTAAAAGATATTTAAATGAATTGATTTAAGTCTTAAAACAAGTGTACCTAAAACATATTTAATTTAAGTAAAAAAACAGCAAAAAAACAAAAAATTTACACATCTGCGGCATTTATACATAAAAAGCATTGTTTTCAAAACAATCTTTATACGAGGGTAATACTTTTTTTTTAAATGTTAAATAAAAACATTATTGCAGCGATAAATCGATAAATTTTTCATATTAATTTTGATTGTTGAGTTAACCATTCATTTGAAATCAAAGTAAAAATGCAGTGTCCGAATCGAAATAATTTTTGTTATGTATGTGGTTTATTTGCACCTCCAAGCCATATGCGAAATATTACAAAAAGTGTAGTAACAGCTTCTGAAGACTATTTTTTGGTGACGTATATACCAAACTTATGGTATGTACCAGAGGTTTTATGCGATTATTGTTACCGTTGTTTGCATGGATTGCAAGATAAAACACACAGTATGAAATATGTTGCACCAACAATTTGGCTTCGACCCGTCGCGACGTACCGAACACGCATCTGACCAGTGTTATTTCTGCATGTCAAAATTTAAAAGTTTTGGATTTCGGTACAATACTAGAGAGAAAATTGATTACGCCGATGTAGAATCCGTCATTCTCGCAAGAGTGCGATCTGAAGATTATCCAACTGCTCCTTCAGAAAACATATGTGAGGATAAAAGTAAAAAAACCTTTAACACCCAGTACAACCATTTTTTCCGAGATGGAATCTGAATTTATTCCCTGTAGTTCGGGTTATAAAGTACATTTTATAACACAGGACATGAAAGTACATATGTCACTGAAAATACATTTTCTCCATGCTCATTTGGACTATTTTCCACCAAATTTGGGCGATTTTAGTGACGAACATGGCGAACGTTTTCACCAAGACATTTTAACAATTGAAAAACGCTTCAAGGGAAAAGACGTCAGGCATTTGCTGGGTGAATATTGCTGGTCAATTGTTCGAGATTCTGAAGCAATATACAGCCTGTTCAGAATAAAACCGAATATATCTATATATATATTGGGCGTGGCCTCGCCTCCCTCCAAGGAGCGTCACAGTTGCTTGTGTGATAAACGACATGACGAAAGGTCGAGCAGGTAAGGACTTAAAAAATTAAATGATAATAATGCAAAAAATCTCATTAGCGATGCAGACTATTTGCTTAGCTACTGTGTCGCGCATTGGAGGGAGGCGAGGCCACGCCCCATATATATATAGATATATTCGGTTTTAGTCTGAACGATCTGTATAATCGTCAAACTAAACGACCAAGATTTTATTCCAACATGTATTGAATATAAGATAAATACAAAAATTAGTTTCATTAAAAAAAAATAAAAAAAAATTATTAAAAAAAAATTATTAAAAAAAAATCAAAATATAAACTTTTTTATATTTGTTTTTTTAAAAACATACAATATTTACAAAAAAATATATTTTTAACCGAGTAAAAAATGTACAATCTGTATAAGCATAAATAATAGGAATGACGGCTTAAAATTTTTTTATGACGTGATCTCGTGAAACTGTGAGACACGGGTACGTTTTTTTTACCTCTATTTTCAAAATCTGCTAAAATTCACATATCAGAGTGCGTCGTGTTGTACTGTGTAATGTTTTGAGTTTGTTTTATATATTCGCCTGATGTGATTTTTATTCGATATTTGTACCTGATTTTTCTATCAAATGACTTGTACACCCATAGATGTATGGCAAAAGTATTAATAAAGCTATTATTATTATTAAACAAACGACAGCCGTAGATAATAAAACGCAGCGACACTCACGGCGATCGCCAACACTAACCAATTCACAGACCTATTTTGTCCTTTTGCGCAGTTTTATACGCAAGAATAAGAACCAAAGTTAAAAATTATTAAGGCGCATTCATGCTCACTTAAAATAAGAAATAAGAATAAGAAATAAGATAAAAAGTTAAAACTGTGTAAAGTAATGGTTGCGTTCATGTTCATGAAAATAAGAAATAGAACTAAAGATAAATAACTTTTAACTTTGGTTCTTATTTTTGCGTATAAAACTGCGCAAAGGACCAAAATGGGTCTGTGATTATTTTGATGGGTTTTATGTGCTGGCCATGGAGCCATGGTGTTGGAAATCGTGTTGAGTGTCGCTGTCAATTGTTTATAGCCAATATAATCCACTATAATAAAATATAATTGTGTGACAACATTTTTTATTTCTTATGTTATCAGCATGAACGATCAATCGCGATCTTATTTCTTATTTCTTATTTTCATCAACATGAACGCAACCATTACTTTACACAGTTTTAACTTTTTATCTTATTTCTTATTCTTATTTCTTATTTTAAGTGAACATGAATACGCCTTTACCTATTAGGATTTATTTAAAATAAAGAAATTATAAGATCAAAATATTAAAAATAATAAAATGGGAACGTAAAATACTAGTGGAAAAAAATCACTAGAATATGGCATTTTAATAAAAGTTTTTACTAAATTACAAAAAAATCACTAGATCTAGTGAAATTTTACTAGACCTGGCAACATTGCATTCAGTTCTGTTTGCTGTTTTGTGACAGCTTTTGACGTTATGCAAAATCTACAGAAATAGGAAGCTGAAAAACTTTCAACAACACCTAAAACAGAATTTACACCTTAATTATCACCCACTGATAAAATTACACTAAAATAAAGTTTTAAGTTGTTTATTATAATACCATTAGATTCTAATTTTTTAAGGTCTTCAAAAGGCAATTAATAATAGCTTTAACTGTTGTGATCTCGGCACTTCGCCTAACAGTGCAAGATTGCCTTCTAACTGCTCATGGGCCGTCAAGTATACAAGATTTGAAAAATTTTTAATATCACCAGTAACTAGGGGATACACCAGATAGTATTCGTTTAATGGAATATTTCCTCCTCTATCTGCAGTTCTCAATGATTCCTGTTCATTGTAATGCATAGAGTAATGGCTTTCAGGGTGGAAACTTGCTCTAGTCTATCGACAGCAGTCTCGGCGTCTTTAACACCGGCGAGAAGCTTTCTTTTTAAGCTATCTGCAATATCTAGGGAGACTCTCTGTGGGATTCACCACGACTTGCTTGATATGAAGAACGGCCTCTACCTCGAGATTTCATTGTGCGTGCACCGCGGGGCTTGAAATCGGGAAGATGTTCAACTAAATCACGTCGTTGGAATTCGGGATCTGAATTTACGAAATTCTTAGCTTCAAATGCTGGTTTTCGGGACATTTTTCGGCTTGATTCTCCTGACATCAAAGAGAAAAAAAAAATAATAGCTTAATTGCCAAATTTTTCTCTCTTAGAACTATAAAAAATTAAATAAGTAAAAATATTTTTTAATCTACTTTGGTGGTAGTGCAGCTATACTAAAATAGACAACACCAACCTTGTATACACCAGCGTAACTAGGTAGTGGGTTTAAAGTTTTAAAGTACAATATTAATGGAATTAATGGTTTCCCTTAACTCTTTTGTAATATATCTTCAAATATGAGATTGTTTTAAAACATAGGATTGATTCAGTCCCCGGTAGGGATATAAACTGATTTAGGGTTTCTGACACCAGAATAAAACTACAGGTTCTTTGTTTTAGTATCATTAATGTTTGATTATTTTTATTAGATACATCCGAAGAGGAACCAATTATTTTTAATTGAGGTTCTATATATTTTTCACTGCGGTAAAAATACTGCAGTCTTTTTTATTCAGAATCTAACGGCTCAAAGCATGTTGTCAGAAAATCTACATTACTGTCTGAAGAAAAAATAAATTCTTTTAAAATATTTAAGAATCCCGCACCAAAACCTCTTATATAATCTATATTTTTTTGTATAAAAAACGAGGAACAGATATTTTATTGTGTAGGTTTTTAATGATGCTTTCTTTTAAAATATTATTAAACTCTGTAGCCTTTGCATCTGCATTAAAAACAAAATTGGGTTCGCCGCTTAGTACTTCATTATCAGAGTTAGTCGAAATCCAAGCACCGACCTGTTGTTGAAATATTTGATTTTTATTCTAATATGTGATAAAATTATCTCGTCTGCTGAAAAATCTTATGCAAATTGGACAGTCATAGTTTTATTTCATGAAATGAGCATATTCTAAATGGATTATGAATTTGTTAATATTTCTATTGCTGAAACTTGTATTACAGATCATTGCGTAAAATTAAAAAGAAGGCAGTAAGTTGAACTATATTTGCAAGATTTGTTAGAAAACAACAAAGGCTTGTCTATGCATGTGATAATTTTTTACTTCTTACTTCACTAAAATTTATTCTTAGGTCTTGTGAAAATCCTATATTTTCACTATCAATTGGAACATTTTGAAAAAAATTAACAATATAATCATTTAATTTAATTTTTATAAGGTCTGTAATGTTACCTGTAATTTTATTGTCAAGGACTAGTATGTTTAAAAAAATGCTTTAAATACCATACCATATACACTGACCGGCAAAAGTATGGAATTAATTCATTAAAAAATTTGCTTTTTTTCCACCATAAAAATAACTTTTTAATTTCGCACATTTTGTTGTAAAATTTTCATATTTGTCGCCATTTTTGTGGAAGCTATGACGTCATCGGCCGTTTTTTAAAATTGTACCCCCTCTTTTAGTTCGTAGGTGCCCCGTCCTGTTGAAACCAAACGGTATCACTTGGTAGATCGGGACCTCCATTCTCATTTTCCGCTGATGTGAAAAGAAGAGAGTTTTGCAAAAAGTCCAAATACGTTTGTCATATTCTCGTCAAAGAAGAAAGGGCATATGATCCAAATTTCCCACCATTTCTGCACATTCACTTTTTGCCGGTATTGGGAATTTGCCTCTACTACCCAATAATGATTTTCTCTGCTCCTGTATCTACAATTTTGATGGTTTACAATACCATTCAAACAGAAGGTAGCTTTGTCCGAAAAAAGTATTTTACAAGGACATTGTGGATTATTTTTACATAAATTCATCATAGTTTCAGAAAATTGTAGTCTACGGTCTAGATCATCTTCGTTAAGTTCCTGAACTAGTCTAATTATGTATGGATGGTACTTTTATTTCTTTATAAGACGTAATACTGAGCGTTGACTGACTTGACTTTCAGCTGCGACTAGGCTAGAAGCACTGTAAGGATCTTCTTCCACACGTAACAATATGTCAATTTTAGTGTCTTCACAAATACTCAGACGGCTGGGCAACAAGCTTACTTTTACTAAGCATGTTAACTCGCTGAAGGGTAGACTTTTAGGGCCATTAGCCAATTATACCTAATAATTTGGCAAATCCAGCCCCCTTAGCATCGAAAATAAGATAATTCTTTACAAATCCGCCATTTGGCCAATAATGACGTACGGATGACTAATCAAGTCTCAAAGGTTTTTTTACTTATTTTCCCCAATAAAAAGCACAAACTAATAATTCTAAAACACTAACCAAGTCTTCAACATTAAACCACAGTACACTTCAGATTCGCTATGCAAGGTAAATGTTATAATACAAAATAAAACTAGCAGGATGATTGTATGTACAAATTTAACACCGATTGCACTATGTATAACACGTACTTCCCCCCACTTGCATATTATGTTATATTTAACTGCGTGCCAAAGCAACTACCGACCGCGTGTGGTCTGACAGTCTTGCTTTTAACACAATGGAACTATCCTGTAATATATCTTGTTAATAACAAAAATGTATATGACTTCCAAAAAAAGTGGCGCACTACATTATTTTCAATTTATACATTAAGTATTTAAAGTAAGACCAAGTTTTTCCTTTTAAAATTCAAATTAAACATACTAAAGGATAAAATTTAAGTTTATTAAAAAAAACAAAATAAACAGCATGAAAAACTTAAAAATAAAAAATTGACCAAAAACGGAAATACCATTAACATTTTTAGATGGACACTCCTGACTCAAAACATAAACAAATTTGTGTTTTAATTTTTGTTAATACCGTGTATTGCCCCCTCGGGCTTGAATCAAAGCAGCAATTCGTCTAGGCATACTTTGATAATTGATAAAGTTCTGATCAAGATTCTCCCATTCTTCTCGTAGGGCATTACAAAGTCCTTCTAGGGTCTCTGGACGAACAGGTCGAGCTAAGTCGTCTCTCTAATTGATATACATGCTCAATCGGATTCATGCCGGGGCTCAATTCCGACTTCCTCTAAATAATCAATTACGCACCTTGCCACATGTGGCCTTGCATTATCCTGCATGAACAAAAAATTTGGACCAATAAAGGGGGCAAACAGAACAACATAATCTTCAAGAATGTCTCTAATGTAAGAATTTGCATTCAAAGAACGTTCTCGAAGAATAAATAGCTCTGTTTTTGCGCCTAATGAAGTGCCAGCCCAAACCATTACTGAACCACCCCAAAAATTCTCTTGCTTCACCACAGTAGCTGCACTTTACCTTTCACCTCGCCTTCTCCAAACTCTATGGCGTCCGTCAGGTGAACGCAAGCTAAACCGGGATTCATCTGAAAACAAAACACGCCTCCAATCATTTTAATTCCAACCTTGGTGAATTTGGGCAAACTGAAGTCGCTGTTGTCTGTGCCGCAACGTTAGTCTAGGTACCCGAGCAGGTCTTCTTGACTTTAAACCATTTTCCTCCAAGCGTCGTCTAACTGTTTGAACACTTACAACTCTTTGTCTTGCACCTAAAAGTCTTTGAACGAGCTCAACAGCTGTTTGATGACGGTCTCGTAAACTTTGTAGCAGCAAAAACCGATCATCTCTTGCTGATGTAGCTCTTGGGCGACCCGATCCATGACGCCGGGTCATCATGTTTGTTTGTCGGTATTTCTGGAGTGCCCTTCGAATGGTAGTTTCTGGTTTATTCAACGCACGAGCGGCATATCGCACGCTCCGCCCATCTTCCACTAACGCTACTGCTTTTGCAATTTCTTCGGGTTTAATTTGCATTTTAAAGTATCTAAGTTTAAAATTAATTGCCGCGTTCAATCTAAAATGAATATTAAAAAAATGGAAAAATTGCATTTTTTTATTTACCTCAAAGCTTGAAAGTAATTAGAAATAACACAGAATCTGAACAGTGATGTCCTTTTATATAACTAATGTCAAAAATTGACGTTAAAATTATGCAAATAAAACAAACCATAAACAAATTTCAAATAGAAAGCAAATTTCAAATAGAAAGCAAAAAAATTTAAGTGCGCCACTTTTTTTGGAAGTCAGTGTAGTATAAATAAACTAATTTTGCCAGAGCGCAAGGACAGCACCTCCGCGACTGTATGCTTGACACACGGCTTGAACCGAACAGGTCTAAAGGGTTTTCTTCACTATTATCAAACTCTTTTATTTCTTTAGTGATACTAATGGTGTCTTCTAATTTTTTTTGTTTTTTTGGTGTTGAGTTTTCTTTAATGACTCAATTCTTTTTTTCCTTTATTTTTATACAGCCTTGTTTTAGGTTTTACAAATCTGAGGTTTCTATAATAATTTTAGATGAGCCGCGTTTTCTAACTTATTGATTTTTATTTCTAGGTGATGCCTTTAAAAATGGTCGGATAGCCTTTGGCGTTAATAATTCAAGTCTACTTAAAGAAAATAAATTTGGTGAGTGGTAAACTTTAAGGAGTTTGGCTGATTGTCTAAAGTTTCCGAATTTTGATTGTCTGCATGGTTGGTTTTTGACGATTGACCACCAGATTTTGCATCGTTAGAATTAGGGTGTGGTCCAACAGAAACATATGAGGTTAAGAAGTCCTCATCAGAAAATATTTGCCAGTTAAAAGGAAAAATTCACAATTTTCTAAAACCAGTTATTATGTTTTTTAAGGTAAAAGCCTTCTCGTAGGCTTCTATCGCCAGTTTTGGGATTATAAATGGAAACTGTAAAACCGATATTTAAAAGTATTGTTTAAGGCCACTTTATAATAAACTTTGAATGTACCGAATACTGCAACATCCAAAGGTTGTAGCTTATGGATACAATGCGGTGAAAGTGTTAAGGTTACCACGTGGTTTTGCGTGAACAATAACGTCTAAGCTTTAATGATTATTAAGCAATAAAAGAACGGGTTTTTTTGTGCTAGGTTTGGTATATTTTATAAAACCCTCAAATACAAAAAAGTTTCCGATGTCATTCATACCTTTTGGTTTGCTAAGCCTTTGCTTTTAACTGGGTAATCCACTATCATAAATGATTTAAAATTAACACGTGGAGAAACAAACGCCGGCATAGTAACTAATTGGCCTCTCTCAGCAGACACAGCA